CTCTCTCTCTCTCTCTCTCTCTCTCTCTCTCTCTCTCTCTCTCTCTCTCTCTCTCTCTCTCTCTCTCTCTTTGTGTGTGTGCGTGTGCTGATGGTGCCATGTCTATGCTTTTGGGAGCTGGTTGTCGTTATCTGAAAGAGGTAATGAAGGAATAACTGTAGCTCTGACACACTGTTGGCTGTACATGTTCTTCGTCTTGTCCTTGTTTTCACATTATGTATCCTCATCTAAGCATGTTTTCACATGCGTTTGGTTTGTTTGTATTCTCATGCGAATTTTAAGTAAACCATGCTTTCTCCTTCCCTGCATGTGTTTGTTTGTGTGCCTCGTCCGGATTGCCTGTGCCTGGCTTGTTTCCAACTGACACGTTGTTTCGTGTGTGGTTTGCACCTTGTCTGTACCTGGTTTGGACCTGATTGTACCTGGTTTGCACCCGGTTGTACCTGATTTTCCCCCGATGTGTGCGTGGGTCGTACCCAGTTTGTAAATGTTTTGTACCTTGTTTGTTGTGAGTGGAGATAGCAACTTTGATTGGTGGTGGACACAGTGCTTGCTGGAGTCGGCGGTGAAGTCGGGGGGGGGGGGGAGTTGATCGTGGAGGATGCGTGGTCGAATTGCCAGTGATGCCAGCGCCGGAATCGGTGATGGAATATGGGGTGGAGTTGGCAGTGGATTAGGCAGTGGATTAGGCAGTTGTGCTAGCAATTGAGATAGCAATGGAGTTGGCGGGGGAGTTAGGATAGGCAAGCAGCTACGGTGAAGTTGGTGGTTGCAACGGCGCGGTGAAGTGGGCGGTGGAGTGTGTTGTCGAATGGGCGGTGGAGTGGGTGGCGGACTTGGCGGTGGGGTTGGCGGTGGAATAAGGGGTGGAGCTGGCAGTGGATTAGGCAGTTGTTCTGGCTATTGAGTTAGCGATGGACTTGGCGAGGCAGTTAGGCTAGGCAAGCAGCTACTGTGAAGTTAGCGGTGGCAACGGCGCAGTGAAGTAGGCGGTGGAGTATGTTGTCGAATGGGCAGTGGAGTCGGTGGCGGAATCAACGGCGAAAAAAGTCAGCAGTGGATTGGGCAGTTGTGCTTGCAACTAAGTTAAGCCATGGCGTTGGCGGTGGAGTTAGGACAGGCAAGCAGTCAACCTACCCATGGTGTTGGCTGTGGTGGTAGCTATGGTGGTAGCTATGGTGGTAGCTATGGTGGTAGCTATGGGGTTAGCGATGGAGTTGCTGTGGCAATGGAGACGCTTGCTTGGCTGTGCCTGGCCACGTTGAAAAGCTTGCATCTTCTCCAAGCTTCCACTTTTTGCACCTTGCGCCCGCCCCGGTCTTGGACCAGTGCCTGCACGTCGTTGCGGACCTGTTTTTGCACCTGGTTTTGTGCAAAACTCAAAGTAGCAGGTGCTGTCCCACGTTTACGACCATTTTGAGCTGGGTGTGTGTGAAAAAGTGGGACCTGGTTTGTACACCTGGTTTGCAATCCCAGTTAACCACGATTGCCACAAAGACAATAATTTTGCGGTTTCTGTCCGTTTCACCATGACCACTTCGTTTTTCTATCTGGCTGTGGACCCGGGTGTGCTGCTTCTGTAGGTAGGACCAGACTCTGGTTTGTATCTGGTTTGTACCTGGTCTGTGCCTGGTTTGTGCCTGGTTTGTACCTGGTTTGTACCTTGTTTGTACCTGGTGTGTACCTGGTTTGTACCTGGGTTTGTACGTGGGTCACCTAATTTGCACCTGGAGCTGGTTTGCACATGGTCTTACCTGTTTTGTTCCTGGTTTGCACTCTGTTTGCACCTGGTTTGCACCTGGTTTGTGCCTGGATTGCACCTGGTTTGTGCCTGGATTGTACCTGGTTCACCTAATTTGCACCTGGTTTGTGCCTGGTTTGTCCCTGGTTCACCTAATTTGCACCTGGAGCTGGTTTGCACATGGTCTTACCTGTTTTGTTCCTGATTTTCACTCTGTTTGCACCTGGTTTGCACCTGGTTTGTGCCTGGATTGTACCTGGTTTGTGCCTGGATTGTACCTGGTTTTCACTTGGTTTGCACCTGGTTTATACCTGGTTTGCGCCTGGTTCCTTCCAGATTTTACCCGGTTTCTGCTTGGTTTGTTTGTACCTGGTCTGCACCGGGTTTGCACCGGGTTTGCACCGGGTTTGCCCCTGGTTTGTACCTGGTTTGTACCTGGTTGGTACATGGTTTGTACCTGTCTTGTACCTGATTTGCACCTGGTTTGTCTGCTTTACCGCCTTCTTGTTTTTATCTGTCGGGGTGTGCTCCTTCTGTAGATAGGACTAGAACTTGTCCACATTCTTGGTTTTCTTTCTTCCGGTGGTTTAAAGCACCAGTAGTAGTACACCACATATTGGGCCGCGGGTGTCAGCATGAAACCCACACCACTTTGGAGGCCGCCGACCGTTTTTTCAACGGCGCCCCACACCGCACGGCCTCTCAAGGTTTTGCTTGTGGCGAGAAAAACTTTCTGCAAGGCTGGGGCCCTGTACTAGCGTTTTAAGGCAGCCACTTGTACGTACATTTGCAGCCACCTCCCCGCTGTCAGACCTGTTATGTGGATTTCGTTTTGGACTCCTTGGAAGCTGGCTGTGTGTTCTGTATCTGGACTGGTCTTGGTAACTGGTGGTGGACAGAATCGTTTGGGTCGCTTTTCTACTTGGATGGCTGTACCTGGTCCTGAACCCAGTTTTGTACCTGGTTTCATATAGATCTGTATGTAGTCTTGGACACGGTTGTGTGTCTGGTTTTCTGTAGAGAGAGTCAGCTCCTAAGTTCTCTGTTCATTCTGGTTCCGCTTATGACGCTCTCAAAGAGTTATATGACTTTGTGTGCCGCCGTCTCCTTTTTTTTTTTTTTTTTTTTTTTTTTTTTTTTTTTTTCTTTTTTTTTTTTTTTTTTTTTTTTTTTTTTTTTTTTTTTTTTTTTGAAGAGGGCGACAGCCGTCAGGTATCGTCATTGAACCCACCATTTTTGCAGTAGTTCATAATTATTTTATTATGTTCATCTGATTGCATCTGGATTTGAGCTTTGGTCTCTAATCGAAGAACAGTTTGTGGCTGTACCAAGCAAGCTACCGTCTTCACTCCAATAGAACGCCCGGTCATTATAGCTGCATTTGGCACGACTTTCAGTCCAGATGCAGTAATAATAACCGGGTGTTTTATTTGGGTGAAAGACGACGATAGGCTCGTTGGTGTGTGTGCCAGCTTGTTGTAGGCCTGTTGCATCCCTGTGTTTTTTTTTTTCATTTTGATTCCGTCTTCACCCAAATACAATGTTCGGCTAGGCTACCAGAGTGGCCCGGGGTCACTTGCCCGGCCGGGCCAAAAAGATTTAAAATTTAACAAAAATAAAATCTATTCTAACATTTTATTTTATATTTTAAATTTGGTAAAGAATTTCGATGTGACCCTGAGACAAAAATTGTTTAGTTTATTTTTCTGCATAACATAGTTTTTTTTCGGATTTTTTGGATTTTTTTTGTTTTTTTGCTGGGACCCTCCCTTGTCCTTGCACGGGCTGGCCATCCGGGACCCGGGCGGCCCGGCTGGTAGCCTAGATGTATGGTCATTATAGCTTGTATTCGGGGTATCTTTCAGTCTAAATACAGCAATGAAAAACGACCGTACATTGTGTTGTACATTGTATTGGGGTGAAGAAGTAGGAGCAGAAGGTTCTGTACCTTACCATCTTGTAGGTCCAGATACTTTTTGTTGGGGTTCTGCATGGCCTGGTCGTGCACCAGCCTGAACATATCTCTGAACCTGGCTGTCTATGTGGCTTTGTGCAGAGGGCAGCTTCTATGCAGCCGGTTCTGTACCTGGCTATCTTGTAGTCGCCGTACGTGGTGTTGGGGATCCTTGGACCTGGTATTGTACCTGGCTGGACATAACTTTGAACCTGGTTGTCTTTACGGCTTTGTGCAGAGGTCATCTTCTGTGCACAGCAGCAGCTGTTCTTGGAGGAAGACACTTGGTGACGAAGATATCCGAGCAGAAGGTGATTTTGTACAGATCAAAATTTGCCCTATTTTATCATTATAATTAATAATATTATTTAATATACTTAAGAAAAAAAGTGGCCCCCTCGAAACAAAATAATAAATAAATGGGATGGTGATTCTGGTGCGAGGTCCCACTAGCATAGAGGATTGGAATGAGCGCCTGAATCTGGATGTGTTTTATGCGGAGATGCAGGAAAGTGGATCAATCACGATTTTCTGCACCTCCCTACAAACATGTCCAGATTCAGGCTTTCGTTCCATTCCTGTTTGTTTGCCAGTGCGGCCTCACCCCTAGAGGGATCATACAACATCAAAGCGTGCAATTTTTTATTTAAGTAATAAACTGTGCCTCATTTTATAATTATTAATATACCTTCTCCAAAGAGACCCGGCTCGTCTATATCAACATCGACGTCGCAAATCCAAGATCCACACCATATGACCACACACAGAATAACGACTTGAAATGATATACACAGGTGTCTCAAGATCGCGGTTATGGCGGCTGGCAACAACAAGAAGCAGGTAAGTCTCTCTCTCTCTCTCTCTCTCTCTCTCTCTCTCTCTCTCTCTCTCTCTCTCTCTCTCTCTCTCTCTCTCTCTCTCCCCCCTCCTCCACTAATAACTTCTGTGCCCAGGTCCTGTTCTCTCTCTCTCTCTCTCTCTCTCTCTCTCTCTCTCTCTCTCTCTCTCTCTCTCTTCCCCCTACTACTAACTACTCTGCCAGGTCCTGCAATAATTATCCGAATGTCTTTGCCGCTATTCCTCTCCCTCTCAACTATGCAAGCTCACACCTATGGCACCCAGCGCCACGAAATACTTCTCTCGCCCGGCGCTGTTCACGTTCCAAGGTCTTGGTGCCCAGCAATGGAGCAGCGCTGCCGCAGCTGCCAGAATGGAAGAAGAGGAGGTTCCCTTTTGTGCCTGTGCCTCTGTTTCCCACGTGATTCTGGGCTCTTCTGGAAAGAGCCTGCCGCAGCAGACGGACGTCTGGTCTGTCATGCGCCTTCCCTCGGGCTGAGCTGCAATGGGACCGGGAGTGGACACATGGCAACTCCCTCCTGCTGGCTACTAGGTAGGATCCTCTACCGTTTGTACCGGTCTCATCTCTATGGGATCTCTATTTTGTCCTGTGTACAGTACCTACCGGATAGTCCCAGGTGGGCCCTAAGGTATGAAAGAAAATGGGACACGGTACCAGGTCCGTACTGCGGCAGCGCACAAATCCTTTCACTTCAAACCACCAGCGCCTCCAAGCCTCTTTTTTTTCCCATGGCAGAAATCAGCTGCACGCTACTTCCAAAAAGAACCGGCGTGGCACTCTCCCGGAGTCTTCCGGAAGAGTTGGGGGACTGGGCCCGTAGGGACTCTGGCTCCTGGCTACTTATGGAACTGGCCCCTGGCTACTTATGGAACTGGCCCCTTGCATTACTGGTCGGGCAGGTTGACGGCAAGAGCAGAGAACCATTCTTGGTGTCTGTTTTTTAATTTTTTATTTTTGAACTTTTTAATATTTTTGTATTTTCCTATTATTAGGAGGTGACAAGGGCACCCTAGCGCAGTTGATTAGGCACACAAGAGGCATTCAGGAGGTTGTGGGTTCAAGCCCCACAACCGCCTGCGGCGCACTTAGTGCCAACCGGCGGTGATAGTCCGCTTGATACCTCTGATTGGTATTAGCGGGGTCCTTGGCCAACACGGGTGTGAGTGTGAGTGTGAATGTTGAGTGTGAGTGGGTTGTGTGTGGCGTGTGGGAGATCTGCCGCCACTCGATGAGGGGTGGGGGACGATCAGAAAGGGGGAGGCGCAGCTACTGGCAAAATGCGCGGTCTTTGTATTAGCCAGACCCCCACCGGCGGCCTCACCCCATCACTGACCCTGGGTGCGGGGTATGCTTGCAGGGGTCCCCTCTATATATAGTCTTACGAGAAGGGGTAGGAAGGTAGTGAAAGGCAAAAACAATTTGAGAGAAGAACATAGTGTGTAGTTTTAACTAACTAAAAAAGGCTCTTTTTTTTTACTTTTTTTTTATTATTATTTTTTATGTATTTATTGAGGAGGTGACAAGGGGGCTCTGCAGCATCGAGAGACTTTCCCAAAAAGCTCGATCCGCCATAACTCTATTTTGGTTTCCTGATGAACGTATGAAGCCCGGGAAGTGGGAGCCATACGTTGTCAATCCTTGCACTGTTGTGATCGATGATTACTTTTTGTAATTTCTGCAAAGTTCCTTGTCGGTAATGGGAAAAAAAAAAAAAAAAAAAGATGTGTGGGTCAAGGGGGTTCAAGTCAGTACGGTTTCTTTGGAGTATATATCTATAAAATTAGTATAAATTCTATTCAAAATATTTCAATAGTATAATCTGTTGTGGACTAATACAGATATTGGACCGTTGCATGTGGTGGTGTGACCTGACGATTGGGGGGGGTGTGGAAATCACGTGTGTGTGTGTGTGTGTGTGTGTGTGTGTGTGTGTGTGTGTGTGTGTGTGTGTGT